GTACGCTACGTACGCAATGTTCCCTATGCTAGCTGCGTCGCAGAGTGTACACAGCGTACGTAGCGTACGTGGCGAACATAGCGTAGCGCTCTGTGTGGCCGAACCTTAATACATTGAAAAGTCACAGTAAAATATCTTATCATAGAGACGGACAGTGAGTGAGTGAGTGAGTGAGTGAGTGGGAGAGAGGTAGAAAGTGTAGTAGAAGTGTAGGTAAAAGTGAAAAATAGTTGGGAAAGAGGGAGACACTTTACTGTGGGGAGGGACAATGAGCGTAATTCTGCTAGAAGGTTCCCAGGCTTCGCCTGCTCTTGTGATAGAATGAAGTGTTCAAGAACAAAACTGCTTAGGAAACTGCACGGACCAAAGGGACATCTGAAGAATGCACAGAATACAATCGCTGCTGAAAAGAGCGTGCCATCCGATGAGAAAGTTCCATTCTTGAAGAGATTTTAATGACAGGACGTACTGATGCAACGCAATGGTTCCACCGTTCTCAGAAGTAAACATAAGAGGCTTGACAATAAATTTCGCGAACTTGCCACCGTGTGCTTGGCGTGGTAGCACTGGACACAAACCTCAGTATTTTTTCATGACGTTGGCATATCTGCATTTCACAGCTGTATTGTTGTTGATCTGCGTGAAAAAGTTAGATGGAAACGACCCGAACTTTTGCCAGCACCTCATGGATCTTGCATCACGACAATGCAACTGCTCACACTGCTCTGTCTGTGAGGGAGTTCTCAGATAGTAAAGAAATAACTGTGCTGAAACACCTCCCTTTTCATTGGATGTAGCCCCCTATCACGTTTTTCTGTTCCAGAAGATAAAGGAATTACTGAAAGGAAGGCATTTTGATATTGATGACATCAGTTAGGACAGGAGTAATACGACGGCAGCTCTGAAGGTAATTTCACAAAATCAGTCCAAAAATTGTTTTAAAGGGTGGATTAGGTGCTGCCGTCAGTGCATAGCTTCCCAAAGGGAGTACTCTGAAGGCGAACCCAGTGGTATTCAGCAATAAGGTATGTAACACTTTTACTGCGATGAGTTTGCGAACTTTATTGTCATACAACGTATGCATGCAGACCAAAATTCGTCTTTTATTTATTTTGTAACCGCTCATTTCTTTTGGGCCCTTTACGTTGGTCGCCACGCTGTTGCCGTCCTCCCTTTTTCCTACGTTGTGCTCCACTTATCACCGTCCTCCCTCTTCTCGTGGATGTCGAGAAGTTAGCTGGGAAGGGAGGAGAATTGTGGTTGTTGGAGCTGTTACGCGAGAGCAGGTAAAGACGGGAGTATCTGGATTCTGTTCAGTAATTTGTAGAGCTGAGTTCCTATCCCGGGTCTTATACGGGTCTGGCTCGGGCAGGGCAGGAAGAACCTTTCACTACAATCACACACCTTTTTCGACCGTTGCACTTAGTGGTCATTTAATTCCCTCCAGCTTACGGAATACAACTGAATTTATTAGTACACTTAATTTGATCTTTACTTATAATACTTTACGGAAGGGCCGTAGTTGTAAATTTTGTGTCCGACTTTGCCGAAAGTTGTATCAAGACTCCTCGAGGTGGAATGCCCTCTCTCTGAATCCTGAGGTCCACGAACCCCAGACTCCAAGAGAAATCCACTCCTCCACTTCTGCCATTGGTTAAGTTTTCAAACTAGGAGGTTCCCTAAATTTTGAATTCCCAATCAAGTTGCTTTGCTATGTGATTCTGGCAGATGCTGACCTGACGCTAAGGTTGACAGCCCCTTGATGCATTATGATCAGCGTATGAGGCTCCGGCCGTCCCACTTCTAAGTTATCGCTGTCCCAAGCTGTCAGCTCTCAAATTCTCAAATACTTTCCGACTTTGCTGAAACTGCCAGAATTCCAGGAAAGTACCAGATGTTACTTCCTGTCCACATAGCAAAACTTGAACTATGTCCCTTCCGCGTGTAAGAGCTGGCTATCTGCCGGATCTCTTTGTTTGTAATTTTGTAATCTTAACTTAATACAGATTTAATTAATGCACAACAGTCCTCCAATCAGAATGAACGGTTACAATTTTATAACGCTGTCGGTATCCAGGCTATATACCGTCAACTGGTAGGATAACTGGTGAATTGGAAAGGATCTAAGAAAACCCGATACTAGCCTAATAGACGTACTACTGGCCTGGAGGGGCTGAGAAAAATCCCGGAAACCCCACTCAAGTTAGCAGGTGTCAAGACCGGAATTCAAACCCAGTAACTACTGAACATGTGTCTAAATCGTATATGTATTATATACATCGAGTGCAGAATGCATGAAACTTAACAATTATCATCTTATTTTATAAATAATTACGGAAGTTAATGAAAGATTGCGGTAGACCTGCGCTAAGTGGCCTCAAAAACGTCCACGCACGAAGCTGTACTTTGTTACATGAACTAGGTTATAAACCTACTGCGTTTCTTCTGTACAGTTTCATGCAATATAATCACTGCATCTGGAAACAAGGGTTGGTGCTACTATAATTACTGAAGTGGACACGCAGTATAACTTTCAAGACACGTAACGAAAATACAGTTGTCCCTGCGCTTAACAACAGCACTACGCCACGAAACGGTATAGGCAAGTGAAAGTATAGATCCGTGTATTCTTGAACTCAGCACTAGTTGAAAGGTCAAACTGTCCCTGTGTTTAGTTAACTAAGCACTATACCATAAAGACATATGGGGGAGTGGAGGTATGGCTCCATCATTCCTGATCTCGACACTAAATGGAGGTGAGTGATAAGCTTCACGCTCCTGCCGCTTTACACCCGGGGGAGATCCTGGTACTAAATGGATAGGAGGCTGGGTGGGGCCCAGAGACTATCTGAACGTGTGGAGGAGAGAAAAATCTTACCCCTACCGTGAATCGAACCACGGACATCCAGCCTGTAGCCCGTCGTTATACCGACTGAGCTATCCAGATTCATCTTGGAAGTCAACATGGATAACAAAATTAATTTTACAGAGAAGACATTAGCCTCCGTTACAGTTGCTACGAATGCAGTAGAAAAACGAGAGAACACAGTGTAACCAGTCTTCAGAGAAATTGTTACCTTCCGTGTAATTCGTAGGGCATTCTGGTCTGTTATTCGGTATTGAAGGCGCTGATTAGTTCTGTGATCTAGGACTGCTTTATTTATCCTTACAGTCGACAAAGAACGACGTACTTACTCCAGTTTGGTTTCAGATCGAGAGTGCAAACTTTATGTTACGTTGTGGTACCCACTCTGATAATGCTTTGTCGAACATGCGTCCAAAAGAAAACCTACTTTCCAACAGACACAATGCTATATATCCTGGCCATTCACACACTCTACAAACACATTATTTTTGAAAAGGATCGACATATTGAATGCACACATGCAACAGGTCCAGGTCGCCAGAGTACTTTCATTAGACGAAATAAATAAGTAAAGCTATCCTTGTACCAGGCTGTGGTGGCCCATAGGCTTGTGAGACGTCGAGGCTCCCACATTTTCTACACAATCGGCTTACATATGGCGATGAGGCTGTCAGCCTTACGCGCCGGCGGCCCTTAACCCCCCGGAAGTTTCCTGGTACTCTTTTCTGTTAGAGGCTGAGTCGACCCCAGGGCCATAGTGCGGCTGGAAGGATTAGGTAAATTGAAAAAATCCACCTCATCGGGATTCAATCCCGCGACCCTCCGGCTTGTAGCGTAGTGTCTCAACGAACTACGTTACCGCGTGCCCCCATTAGACGAAGTCTCAAGCAAACAATTGAATATAATTTAACAAACAGGAGTCCATAAAAATGCACGTATCAGGAGACAAGAAGCATTTTAGAATAGGGAGGTGCTGCGAAACAAGCCAAATCACCTCAGAAATCATAGCGCCTAACAAACATATCCTGCTTTGCAGCTTCCATCATTTTGGCACTTGTATGCTAAATCGCTTGACCAAGAGACTGACAGAGACAATTTTAAATGATGTGACGTAAACAGTCCTTATATTAAACGCATTTCGGTTCCATTTTAAATTTGTCGACATTTTACGACTCCGGTATTCCGTGTTCCGAATTCGGAACTTGACGGATCTAAGTGAAACTGACCTGTCCGCATGACCTGCGCTCCCTGACGCTTGACAAAGTCAAACTGTTGTCAGTGTGAGAAATACAAATCCCCAGCCGTGACGCCACCTCTGTCCGCCATAATTGCTACACCCCCATTTGAACCTTGAGAATTGTCATGATTTTCTTCAGTTTCTCCAGGGAGCTCTGGAACAATCCCTTAATAGGGGTCATGGCCATCTGTCTTCAGATTCAGTTCGATTCATCATTAACGAATATCTACAATGTTTATTCGACGTCATGTAAATTCCAGCAGCGTATCTTTCGTCGAAAGCAACCGAATAACGTATACAAAGAAATGCGATATCAAACTGTATCTGGTAGCAAGTGTATTAGTGCTCATATCTTAAACATTAACTATCGTTAATGTACAGCACATTAAATGTGAAACGCCCAACTACCTACAGAACAAGGAAGTTCACAGCGTATTGTTTCGGCGAGCTTTATTACGTCACGTTGAGAACACTGCCCGCATTCTGCCTACCTTTAGCGGAAAAATATAACTTAGTAACACACGTGTCCTCAACGTACCATTTTGAACATTTTCCAACAATCTACGCTACTTATTTCATTGTTTGGGCAGTTCTACGAAAACCATTCTTGTCCTTAGTTAGTTACTCGTATTATTATACAAGTCATTTCTATTCCATTTACGTGCTGTGCTTTACATATGAAACTCTGGTTAATAAAATTTCTAATCGTAAAATGTTTGGTTACCCCTGACGAATTTCAATTTCCTCTTATTGACCGCGTACTTCCCTCCCCCCCGGGAGGGGGGAAAGCTAGTTTGAGTACGTATTTCGAGATTCCGCCGCGTGAGACCGCGGCATGACTTACAGTTACACACTGCTATCTATCAAGCGAGAGTAGAACTACGAGTATTTACTCACCGCCTTCATCCGTCATCACAAGAACCGTTGTGCTCGGCCCTGGTCCTTCTGGATTGAACACCTGGAGGGATACACGGTACTGTGTGTAAGTTTCCAAATTCTGAATTGTGTGGCTCTGAAACGAAAAAGAGAATTCCAGTTATTTACAGTAACTTCCATTTCAATCTCAATAAATACCTTTATTTGTTTTGTATTTCCCCATTTTATAAATGTGACATACGAGCAACTACACAACAAACTACGTACTTATTATAAATACTGCAGTCGTACTAGAAGTCGGAGCAAGTGATGAACTGCCGTGCAGGGACACAGCACACATATCAGCATTGCGTTTTTTTGCGAACTGGCAAAATTTGCACAGGTCGGGTAGTACTGCAACACTGGCGTTAAACAGCTAGAGGCCTCAGAACTATGTGAACAAAATCTAATGCTTAAATTGGCTTTTGAATTTAATGAAACTTCGCCATGACCAAACAACAGAAAATGAAAGCGCTGTTAAATAGCCAACGAAAAAATCAAACAGCAGCAACATCTATACGTCACAGGAATTTACGGTGCTGGTGTAAACAAGACATCAGACAAATAACAGAAAGTACGAGTATACCAACTTCAATACAACTTCGGAGCTGAAGGTCTGCAATCCTCTTCCAGAACTAGAAAGGCAACTATACTGGTTGAGGACTTCCGTGGTTTTCAGTAGGAAAATTCTGGAATAATACTGTAACATGTTGCGCGACTGAGAACCCCCCTCCTCTCCACGGTAACGTAGCGCTCCCCGCCACTCCCCTCCGCGGTGACGTCACGCGGTGACGTAACGCGCAACGCTAACGTAACCGTAATCAACGTCCTACTGTGACGTGGCACTCATTACGCCACAGGCAAGCACTGCAGCTATATAAGTGGATGCACAGTGCGTATCGATCAGTTC